AGTGGCCCCTGACCCTGTCTCCCGTCCCCCCCCAGCGGATGACCGACAAGTGTTTCCGGAAGTGCATCGGGAAGCCGGGCGGCTCGCTGGATAACTCGGAGCAGGTGAGCGGGGCAGCCCCTTGGGCTTGGCGCCCTCCCGCCTTGCCCAGGCACCAGCCCCCGCTCCAGCATCTGGCCCGCGGCTTCGTAGCTGAGCCAGGCTCGGGCAGCGCAGCCAGAGGGAGCGAGGCGCCGGTGCTGCAGGCGCGTTTGTGCTCCCCAGTGAGGCCCCTTTACACTGGGGTCTGCAAGAGCTACCTGCCCTGCCCACGCGGGGAGCCAGGCCCTGCCTGCCCGTGTTCCTGGTAAGCTGGGTGGCTGTGCGGCCGCTGAGGCGAGTTCCGGTGCCACCCAGCTGACGAGCAGCGCCCACACCTCGGTTTGTGTTTCTGCCAGTGGTGCACATCCGCACATACCTCGGTGCGCACAAAACGTTTTCTGCACATGGACGGAAAAGATTAGAGGTGGGCACGTTGGCCTGCCCATGCCCTACCCCTGTGTCACTATCTCTAGGTCGTGCCCTCACTGTGCTCAAGCTGCTGGCTGCTGCAGTGTCTAATGCAATGTTTCCCAATTTTATTTGGCCATGGAACCCTTTTCTGCTTAAAAGAATTTCAAGGAACCCCTGGGGGAGGGTTGCCCAGGGTAAAAGTTGTCAAGCAAAAAAAAAAAAAAAAAAGGAACCCACCCCCCGCCCTCTGTAAAATAGACTCTGTCTCTTTAAGAGGGGGCAGGGGAGTGCTGTGTTATTGTGGATCCCTTACTTTCACTTCACAGAACCCCGGGGTTCTGTGGAGCACCAGTTGGGTCTAATGCAAACATGGCAGCAGGCCCGGGGACGGGGGTCTCTGGAGGGTGCTTGGGGAAGGGAGAACTGCGAGGCTGCTCTGTTTTGTGCCATCTCCGAGGCGCTCAAGGTGAAGGTCCCATCGTATGATGGGAAAAGCAGCAGAGAGCTCCCTGCAACATGCTTAGCCCCCTGCCCTGGGCCTTGCGACGGTGGCAGACCGTGCGGTGGAAATAGGCTCTGTTCCCAGCCATCACTGGGGCAAGTCGTTTCCTCTGCGCTTGCCATTCCCCAAGAGGGGCTAAGGGGTCCTGGTCCCCTTGCGCAGGTGCGTTGGGCCTGGGGTGAGGAGCGAAGTCGCATTGTTCTCTCTTCCATTCCAGAAGTGCATTGCCATGTGCATGGACCGGTACATGGACGCCTGGAACACCGTCTCACGCGCCTACAACTCCCGGTTGCAACGGGAAAGAGCCAACATGTGACCAGCAGCCCTGCCAACATGCCCCCTGCTTGGGGCGAGTGACTTGATTCCTGGACTAGCCCGAGTGGCCCTGTGAGAGCGAACGGGAAGGCGGGGGGAGAGGAATCCCTGTGATTGGTTAATGCGGCATCGCCACCATGGCAGACAATAAACCGGCATCTGGAGTGTCTGCCTTGGTTAGCTGCGTGGGCTCAGCGGCTCCCTCGTGCCCAGTGTAGGGTACAGCAGGGAGGGTGAAGGTGGCCAGGCAGGGGGTGGCTGCTGCCCATTCTCTCCATCCTGTTACATGCTCACAGGCTTTGCTCAGTGCTGGCGGGGGACGAACGGATACGGGGGACTGAGAGACCGGCGGGGAACATGCTGGTTGATGGGAGGGCTGTGGGGCAGGGAGTCCTTCCAGAAAGGGAGCCGAGCAATGCCCCGAGGACATGAGGCAGTGTGAGCAGCAGCGTGCCCCTGCTCCCGCCTGGTGGGGCTGCGGCTCCGCTGGGAAGGTCGGTCAGGGAGTTGCTGCCCACAGAGCGATCTGCAGGTCGCGGTGTTGGATTGTTACTGGACAGTCCAGCTGCAGGGGCTTGTGGGGCTGGGTGCTGGCCCTGCTGCGGGACTGGCCCATGCTCACCTCAGGGGTGCCCCATGAGAGCGCTGGATGAAGAACCCCCCCGTCCCGGCTAGTCCCAGTCCTAATCCCAAAGGAGGAGACGTCTGCGCTCAGATCACGGCCGGGGCGAGTGAGCCCAGCTGCTGTGCTAGGAGCCAGCATGGCACGGCCAGAGTCCTGGGGCTGCTACGTTGTGAGCTGCTGCTGAAATAACAGCAAGAGCGGCAGGCAGCGTCTGAGCTTCACTTCTCATGGAGGCAGGGTGGGAATCGGTCCCACGGGCTCCCTGGCAGCCCGGAGGCCTAAGTCGCTGGGAGCTGGCCCAGGAGTGGCAGTGCCTGGCCCACCCAGCCAGTAGCAGCATTAGCTCAGGCGCTCCTCCCCGGCACCAGACTACCTGCTGGGAGCTGTGGGGCCGGGCCGCACGTGGGCACAGAAGGCTGAGGGGATGTGCGCACTGGCTGTCAGTCAGCCATGGGTTAGATCCTGGCAGGGCCTCTGTTTCCACAGGCCTGTGCACAAAGCTGCCTCAGCCCTGACCCCGCTGCTCTGCAGTAGCAGCATTAGCTCAGGCGCTCCTCCCCGGCACCAGACTACCTGCTGGGAGCTGTGGGGCCGGGCCGCACGTGGGCACAGAAGGCTGAGGGGATGTGCGCACTGGCTGTCAGTCAGCCATGGGTTAGATCCTGGCAGGGCCTCTGTTTCCACAGGCCTGTGCACAAAGCTGCCTCAGCCCTGACCCCGCTGCTCTGCCCCGGCTCGCACCTCCATGTCCCGCCATGGTCTGTGGGCCCGATCGGGCAGCTGTGGAGCCCTCTGCTGGGATGGGGGCAACTGAACACCAGGCCGTGAGCTGCCTGGCGGGTGACTCAGCCGCTCGTGTCGAAGCTGGTGCCCCTCTGTAACTCACTACTGGCCGGACTGAGGCCTGGGGGAGTGCCAAACCCCAGGGCACTGGGCTCCAGGAGGGAGGTGGGGGCTGCCCTGTCCCAGGCATGGGAAAGCTCGGAGTTGAGACTGCTGAGGTGGGCAGGTGCCATATTAATTTGGGGGGGGTATTGCCCACTGCTCTGCTGCTGGGTATGTGGGTACCTCTCCCTGGGCAGGTTGGGGCTGGGCGGTAGGCCTGCGATACCCAATGCTGCCATCTCATCCAAGTTCTCTGGTGGGTGCAGGGGGGGGTGC